AGCCATTTTATCTCAGCCCTACTCCCGTGGCTGGGACTATGATGGAGAGGATACAGTTCTCACCACCTTGGGAAGCTCAGCCTGTTCCAGCAAATCCAGGACCACAGTGGTTTGGTGAGGGCACCAATTAAGGCTGTAACGATGGTCCCATTTGAAGGATGCTCAGGGCTGTAGGAAGTTAAGAGGCAGTAGGTGCAGTCCACCTCGCATGGTGAGACTCAATAGCAGTGAGAGGTAATTACATGGTCTGTGGAGACCATTTAATCCTGATTACAAATAAAGAAACCCAACCCCTGTAGACCCCAGGGGACAACTTTCAACGTGGCTGATAGATGCCAGATCCCTGCTTAATGTGACTGCACTGTCTTGACTCACCTTCCCATGGGAAGCTTCACCCAGCTGGATGCTGAGGGACAGAAGGAGGAAGGCTGGGACTCAGAGGGGGAAATTCAATCAGAGCGGGGTGTCCAAATCCCCGAGGTTCCCTTGGAAATCCCAGCTCAGCACCCTGCCTGCTGGTGTCTAACAAGCCTCTCAAGAAAAAAGACATCAAACCCCAGGGTTTACTATTAATCAGTCTGGCTTCTTAGCACCTTCTCCTGTGACCTTGGTTGCTAGGAAATTTATGTCAATACACAAAAAGTGAAGTATTAATAGAAAGAAAGAGCAGCTGATGAGAGCTCTGCACATAGAGGCATGGCCAGTGCAGGGGCTGTCCTTGCAGGACACACTAGTCTTCCAGGCTACATCTCTACTAGCAAACCAAGCTTGCAGGGCTCCTTTCCTGCTCCTGCAGCCCATACCCATGCTATTAAACTCCAAAACAGCCCCAAAAACTCAGTTGCTTTGTCTATCCTGCTGATGAGGAGCAGGGACCGGCCTTGCTGTCTCTTGAACCATTTCTGGAAATTGTTTCAGCTAACGGGAGGGGGTCTGGGTCAAAACCATGCAGGGGACCATGTTTGTGATTTTTGGTCTATGGAGATGCAATGCCCAAGCCCACGATGCTTTTATTTCACTCACAGGTGTTTGAAGTACAGGTTGGCCTGTGGGCAGTGCTGAAATCTTCTTCAGGGACTTTCCAGCCTTGGGAGTTTTTTCCCAGATCCTCAGTATTTGTAGAATTCCTGATTTGATTTTTGGCAGGAGGCTGGTGGTGTGAGTGGATAATCCATCTCCTCCTGGGCACGCGCGGTTCGCAGGAGATGACAAAAGCGACAGGTAAGGGCTGGAAGAGGACACTAACTACTGACAATGCCAAGCTGGAGAACACAGACCTCTCTCCAAGACCCATGTCTGGACTGAGTCCCTAAGATCAAGCAGTTTCATGTTGATTTTCCCCAGTATGTGTCCAGTACGTGTGTCCAGCATGGCACAACTTGTGTTGGAGGATGGCTGCTTACCAACAGCAATGTCCTACAGAAACGTGGTGCTGCTGGTCCACGCATGAGCCCTGTTAGGCTTGCTTTCCTCTGGGGTGCTTTATGCTCTGTTTACTGGTGCGGATGTAGGGATGGTGAGTGCAGGCAGTGTTCCCACACCATTCCCTCATGATGGTGCCTGATTTGGTGAGGAGCAGGCAAAAAAAGCTGGTACCCTGGGCACGGGGTGGTGCTTGGACCAGCAGGGCTGGAAGGGAGGAGGGGAGCTCCTGTGTGGTTGCAGATAAAATTGCTAAACCTCGCCTTAACCCACATTATCCTCCCCTCAGCTGTTCAGCTGGGTGATGCTATGTGGTGTTCAACAACTGCCACGTTCCTCTCGCGAGGTGGCCACCATGCAATGGCTGGGGGGAGCTCCTGCAGAGGTCTTCCATCCCAGAAATGCTATAAGTCCGGGGAAACAGTGTCTCCAGAACATGCTGCTACCCTTGGAGAGCACCTGCCCTGCAAAAGGCCTCATGGGCAGTGCACCACTGTCCCCATTTTACACGCCGGTGACTTGAAGGCGAAGTTGTTAGGCCCAAATCATACATTAATGAGTGAAATAGCAGGGAATAGTCCCCACATCTCCTTTTTCTGTGCTCTGTGTGCTGGATCGTGTTCTTTCCCTCAAGTGTAGGGGGTTAGCATAAGCCTGACCTGGATGTGTGTCAGACAGAGCAGTGACAACTTGGCTGGCCCTCGGTTGTGTTTGAAGTGGTAGACAAGTCTCCAATGGCTACATACTTCCACCTAGTGACGAAGAGCTCACATGTCCTGCTTTTCTCTGTGTCCTTTTCTGGTTGCAACACAGGAAGATTTCTCAGATTCCCGATGCTCAGCCTGTCCATAAAGCTCTTTCTACTCATATGCCTAAAATCTGCAACCTCCAGACGAATAACTGCAAACTAACAAAACCCAGATGGCCTGGGGCGATGTTTCTGAGCAGAACTTTCCTTCAGGAGGAAAAAAATTGCTTGCACACATACGCAAACACACACATACTCATTGAACTATACTGCTTTCCTCTTCAGTGGGTGATCAAACCTAAACATGGTCACCAGCTTGTAGTGGGAGAGTATTTACACCTCATACAGCAAGAGCCCTGTGTGATTTGGCCATTCCTCTCCTGGTCTGAATGATGGGTCTCTATCTCTGGTCATTAAGGAAAATATTCTTCACCAGTTTCTCTCTTTCTTTTCACATTTCAGCTCCTTCAGAGGGATGGTTCCCCGTACAGTGTCTTACCTAATCTGCAACTTTTTGCAAAGAATAAACTCCTCGTCCAAGTCAAATCCTTTGGATCTGAAAATCTAGGACATTTTGTTAAGCTTTTTCTATAGAAAGCATTTCCTTAGGACTGGATCATGAAATGCTCTACAGAACGATAAGGGCAATAACTAATTTCTTTTTCCTCACTATTGTCTAGAGATTTTAAGTGACAGTATGTCAGGAGCAGAAATATCAGGGCCATGAGGGCAGCAATAAGCCTTAATGGCCCTGATCAGCCTCAGCTGGCACCCAAAGCACAGCCTGCCCATAGGTCAGGAGCCCTATTTAACCTCAGCTTTGGGTCTGCAGCCTTTTCCTGAGCCATATTGTAGGAGTACTGGTCTTCAGAGCCATCTCTAGTGCTTTCTTCTAGCTGGATTGTGGGCCTGTGCTGTAGTTGAGCATCCCTGTCTCCTCTTGACTCTGAGTGAGGTCCCTGGACTTGATCCATCTCCTCATTTAGGGCTGTCAGTGGACCCTGTTACCAGCATCTGACTCTATCTGCTGAGTTCAAATTATCATCTCTGAATTGTCTTTTCTTTGGCAATACTTTTTGGTGTTTTTTTTTTTAAGAATTCCTTCTAGTTTACTCTTTCTTCTGAGTGTTTCTAGTGTAATTCTGGTTAATAAGTAAACTGAGTGTAGAACTGAGCAGGAGAGGGTTAACTTTCATTGGATTCCTGTAATCACTGGCTATATGCAACTGAGACATTGAGGCTTGGCCTAAGAATAAACCAAACACAACTGGTTCCACTGCTGGGCAAAGCTCCAGAACTTCCCTGATGGTTGATTGCCTGTGACTTTGTGCCACTGTGTCCCTAAATTGAGGCCGAGGAAGAACAAGCAAGCCAGTTTCACCTCCCTCTGGGGATGAGGTAAGAGCATGCATACGTACTGCTGTTGTTTGACTGGTACATGGTAATTCATTAAACTGTAGTTATGCTGTGGTGTCTGAGAGCTTCCTCTGAATTTAGGTGGAAACTTCCATGAAGACATCCATACCAGTGCAGGGGCTCAGCAAACAGTCATGTTTCTGGTGGCTCCATCATAAAACCATCTGGGCTTCAAATAGGTGGGTCCAAAGGTAGGAATAGGGCTGAGGTTCAGACAGCTCTTCAACACATGATGTAGGCTGAGCTGGGTCTTCCCTGTAGCCAGTGAAGGCACAGGGTTCTCTATGGGGTGAATGATAACACTGTGTAAGGCCACAGCACTCTTTTCCACCACTGACTGTATAAGCACCTGCAGGGGTGTAGGTACTTAGGATGTGGTGGGGAGAATGAACACCCTTTGGACAGAATTCCTGCCAAATGCAGACACTGTTAGGAATGCTGCAGAAAAATTGAATTAAGACTTTATAAGGAAACTTTGATGTCTGCTTAGAATCATCATCATAGAATGGTTAAAGTTGGAAGGGACTGTAAAGATCATCTAGTTCTGACCCCTCTAGCCTGGGCAGGGACACTTAGCACTAGACTGGGTTACTCAAAGCCCCTTCCAACCTGTCCTTTAACACCTTCAGTGATGGGGCACCCGTAGCTTCTCTGGGAAACCTGGGCCAGTGTCTCAACACCCTCACAGTAAAGAATTTCTTCCTAATATCTAGTGTAAATCTCCCCTCTTTCAGTTTGAAGCCATTCCCCCTCATCCTGTCACTACACTCCCTGATCAAGAGTCCTTCTCCAGCTTTTCTGTAGCCCCTTTAGGGATTGAAAGGCCACAATAAAGTGTCACCAGAGCCTTCTCATCTTCAGGTTGAACACCCCCAACTCTTTCAACCTGTCCTCACAGCAGAGGGGTTCCAGCCTCTGATCATCTTCATGGCCTCTTCTGGACCTGCTCTGATGCATCTATGTCCTTCCTATGCTAAGGGCCCTGAAGCTGGAGGCAACACCCTAGGTGGTGTCTCACCAGAGCAGAGGGGCAGAATCCTCCCCACCCTTGCCCTGCTGGCCATGCTGCTGGGTATACAACCCAGCATGTGGTTCACTTGCTGTGCAAGTCACTCTCAGACTGGATATCAGCACATTAAGGAACCATTCCATCAGTTTTTCTGTCATGTTGTGGGGGGAGAAAGAGGATAAAATAGGTTCTCCTCCTGTTGGAGGATTTAGTCATATACCAATAGAAGAGCAATTCCTGGTTACTCCCTAATGGTCATTAACGACTTGGAACAAAACAGTTAATAGCAGCAAGTAGCTTAGGTTAATAATTAAGCATGCCCAATGGACAGCTCTGAGCTGTCTGTGACAGACTTTTGAGAAACTAGTCTGGTGGCTTTCGGCACTCGGTGACTCAGTCACCCACACAGGGACTAAAACGAGTGCCTACCACCACCTCAGGCTGAAAATTGGGGTAGACCTGGCATCAAAGGGATGCAGCAGTTATGCTGGTATTGGAGCCTCTGCACTTTGCTCATCAGAGGAATGGGAAGAACAGATTGAATAAGGTAAGTAATACCAGAAAAAGTTCTATTGAGAATAATAAAAGTAAACTTAAGTAAAAGTAAACTTAAATGATCTTCTATGCACCTGGTTTGAAATGCAAGGGCTGTGGACTCTGACCCTACAAGTAGCAGTTAAGTTAAAATGTGCAAGAAATATAGGGAGAGTGGTTACAGTAGATCTTGTGGTACAATAACCAATAGAAGCTTAGAAGCTGGTTTTATGGAGACAGAATATTTGCCACAGTTACGGAGTAACAAAAGTTTTGCCCAACTCTCACCTCTAAGAGTGTTGATTTTCTGTTGCATCTCTTCTCGGGTGCCAGCCCACACTTCCACCATTTATTTCTGTTCTCACCCAGCAGCACTGAGGAGGCTTTTAGTTTGAGAATTCATGACAGTGGTGTGTAGTATTTAGATAATCCTAAAACTGTGTTTATGGTAATACCAATAGGGGAGGAAGCATGTGAAAACCAATCAGTTTTGCTATGAGGTTTGACTTTCCTAGAGAACCAACAAGCAGACTTGGTTTCTTGAACACCCACTGTGGATGCACTGAATTCCACTCTAATCTTGCAAAAAAGTCCCCACTCCTAACGGAGCGAGAGGTGATTTAGAGGCTGCACAATATCTCCTTTGGTGTCCATTTTAGACCAGGAGTGTGCTTTTGAAGCTAGTCTTCTCATCTCCAGATAAGGTGATTTTTTTCACATCACAGAACCGTCTCAGTGAACAGATGTCAATCCTTCTGGATCAAAGATGGATATGGACCAATCAACACTCAGCCATTAACGTGTTGAACACCCGTAAAGGCTTGCAGTGTTCATGTTGAGTCTTTGACACCAGTCATTTTGCTCTAGAGATCTGCTTCTATTGGTTTTGCAATAAATATAGATGTGGCTTTGTTCTGGATTTTGTCTGCTTCTGCCATTATCACCAAGTGTTTTGCTGCCCAGTAGCAGTAGCTGTAGCAGTAAAAGAACAAGGTGCTTTGTTCCTTTTTGTTCTTTGAATAGTGAGTTTTGGGTTTGGTGATTTTTGTTGTTTGTTTGTTGTATTTTTTTTTCAATGTTGGTGTTAACTCAACTTGCTTCATTTTGATGGGCCTTACAGACATTTACAGAATGCAGCAAAGCAGACAGTGCTATGAATAGTTATTTAGGCTTTCTCAGGTGACCTGATAGGCACTTACTAATGTAGAAGAGGGCTTGAATCAGTGCAGTGTAAGTAGTGAATGGAGCAAGACCGCTGCATGGAAGAACACACGAGCTCTTGGTGCCATCATCGTACAGAAGAACTAGGTCTTTAGAGAGCTGAGGTCTGTTCTTATCCCTTTTTCACCAACTGGAAACAGCTGGTGAAACCAGTTCCTGGTGGAACAGGACTGTGAAAGGCTGTGTCTCTGCATCATTTTGTTCTGTGTGGGGATGTGGATTCTCCCCTTGAGAATTATTGCATCATTCAGTGATTGTGATTTTTTGCCCTTTAGATCCTACCATAAAAGCAATATGAAATCCTAAATTATCTTCTTGCATTTTGATTTTATCTTTATGCCTGGGGCTTCTGTGATCTGAACTGAGTTTTAACAAGCAAGGGCTGTTCCGGATAAGGGTGTCCCAGTCTCTGCTCAATGGTGAGAATTTGAGGTTCTTGCTCATTTAAAATGTGGCTAAATTAATTGACCCATGGTTATTTCCATACTAGTACAAAACCCAGGGTGAAGGCAGTAAAGTTGATGGTCTATGGTTTAAAATCTTAGAGCAGTTCCTGGCATAGACTTTACAAAGGGAATGTGTGATATGGCTAGCTATGATAACAAGGAGGACAAAGAAACTTCCCAGGCTACGGGGACTCAAATATTCATATTAGAACAATTCTCAACACCATTGTGCCCAAGTCTACCAGTTCTCTTCCAAGCAATATCTATACACACCTACAGAAGCCACCATGGGGGCCATTCCTAGTTTGGAGCTAGCTGTGGAATGCTAGAGTTTAATAGCAAAGCTAAGTCACTTGCTTTCAGAGCTGGAGAATGGCCATGACGTGATTTAGTTTAAATTAATACATGCAACTGTTTTGCATAGCAGCACAGAGCTGGGAGAGTTTAACATTATCTGCTCTAAATATTGTAATTGCTTTCACTAATTCACCTGTGTCTACCATTTAATCAGAGTCAGTCTCCTGAAACGTGGCCCCAGTGGGGGAAAGCTCATCCTGAGCTTGGCTGGAAAGTGGTCTGCGTGGAGGGATGTGTGTTCTACTTAGAGCTGTTGGGTGGGAGGAGAAAGACTATGGTTTGCAATACGTTGATCCTTTATACTGTGTGAGAGGTGAATCAGTGTTTTCTCTGTGATTTCACACTGCAGTCCATCTTGACTTGCTATACCATGGACCATTGCTGCTGCAGGTCTGCGGTGTGAAGAAAGAATACAGATGGGGTTTGTTTTAAAGTTACAGGATGGTGCCAAGGCCCCAAGCCATGATCCTGGAGCCAGTCTTTTGTGAAAGCCCCATCCAAAGTTCAAGATGTACTGTTGGAGATCATCCTTTCTGAGTGCTGGGCTGATATTCTTTGCAGGTGGGTGATAGAGAGGTGTTGTCTCCAAACACACTGGTTACACCACTAACAAAATCCAGTGACACGGGGTTGGATACAGATTGATTGTGAGAGGGACTTGGGGAAGCATCTCAAAAAGGTGTAGAATGTTATGGGATATTGACTGTAGCATGCTGGACATTGTCCACCCTCATTGGTGGTTTTTCATGGCGTTATTTCCATAGCCAGCAGAGATTTCTGGATTCTTTGTTAATTTTCCCTGTCCTACCGGGGTTCATCTCATGCCTGTTGGTTTTCATTCACTTGATGATAGTCATATCACTGTTTGCATGTTGATATTAAGGGTTCACGATGCAAGTTTGTCCAATACTTGTCTTCAGTGATCAATACTGGTGTTGGGTGAGATTGCACTCATGTTTAACTAAGAAGTTGCAATCTCCTGAAACGCTAAACAGGAAACTGGTTATCACTGTAAAAGAGCTTCTGGGAAATTCTGATATTTTTCTACAAAAAGAAGCCAGTCACTGGTTCATGTCTATTAATTTCAGATGAGGGTCCCCAAAATAAATCCTAAATTATCTTAAGAAGTTGATGCCTGTATGAAAAGCTATGAATAGGAAGTTACAGGTGACTTAATTTTACAAAGCGAGTTCCTTTCCAGGCCTGTGTTTCTTTCCTAAGGACTTTGTCAAAAAAGAGCTGGACAGAAGAAGCCAGAAGATTATATATTTTGTGGGTAGCTCTAAGTTTGCTGACCTCTCTACACTTTCCCAAACACATTTCTTTGAGAGCTGGAGAAACAAACATGAGGACTGGAGGCTCAGACTGTAGCTTGTTTTAGCACACCCTGAAGGCATCAAAACCTCCCTGAAAGGAAGCAGGGCTATTACACAGGGGAGACAACTGGAGGGGGGAAGGATGAGCAGTATGATTAACTTGGATGCCTGAGAAGGAGAAATGAGATGAAGGGTGGGATCACAGGAGGACAGCTGTGAAACTACTACATCTTGTCTTGAATTAGATCTTTCAGATGCTTGCATTACACTTCAACCTGATGTACCTGGGTTCTTTTTGCAGTGACAGCCACGGGATTGCTCATTAAGCCCCGAGAGGGCAGCGTTGCTGGAGGAACATGGATTACTATTACCCTGGATGGTGAGTTTTAGACCCTTATGAAGCACATGCCAGAGTAACAGAAGATCAGCTCCATTTTGAGATTTGTGGTTGGAGTGATAAACCCTAAGCATCAGATACAGGGGCTGTGGTACCCAGAGCATGACACTGGCTTGAAATTATTACTTCATAAGCTGTTGCTGATGGTTGCTTGTTTTTAAGCTCTTTCTAAGCAAGAGAAGTCAGATTTCTACATTATTTTTGTAAACATAGGGCCAGAAATTTTCTCCCTGCCACACTTTTTTTGAAGAAAAGCAGAGAGTCTTCTCTGTTCACAGGTCCTGTGACACTGGAGCTTTAAAAACACTAATGACAAACATGAGATCTGAGTAAAAAACCACAGAAATTGATATGCCATGCTCATTTGGGCCCAAAACCAGCTGTACAAAGCTAGGCCTGATTTTCTGCCATGCTGAATATTGATTCATTGGGAAGAGAGTTGGTTTCTGGGCCAGTTACACATCTGATTTAACTGCTCGAGTTTTGGCACTGCCATTTATAACTATGATGAATGGTATCAGTCTAATAATAAGGATGACATAGAGGGAAGAAGGAGAGATCATGTCTTCAGGGGTGATTCCCCAACAGCACTGTGTGGCAGGCAGAGACAGTAACAGCTGGGGAATCATTGTTTGAGCAGAGTGGGGTTTTTTTATGAGGGAAGCAGACAGTCAGACCTTGGGAGAAGGGGAAAAACCTTCCAGGAGGAAATGTGCAGTTTGCTGCAAATGGAGAAACCACTGATGTCAGTCAAAGAGTCTGTGGTCTGGGAACCACCTGTGAAGATGATGAGCAAAGGGAGAGTTGTTTGTAAACCACCTTCATTTCCAGCTGTATTTGATTATTCTACAAAAGTTAAACATCATTGTAGTTTGGGCTAGTTTATGATCAGATAAAACTCAACTTGTTGAACATTAGAAGCCTGTGATCCTTTGGACAGCTCACTGGAAAGAAATGGGCTAAGCAGGTCCACTTAACAGCACAGGCCAACTTGAGGTCCTGTCAGCAAAACTGCAAGACATCAACAACTACAAAGAACGTGTCAAATGGTACTAATTTTTCAGGTGTTTTATGTATTTATGGGCATGGTGTTTTTTCCAGTATAAGTGGCTGAGGTGACCCAGACTCCCAATACCTGCCAATCTCTGCAGTAGAACACACGTGGATGAGACCAAGTATTGCATTAGAGGCAAAAAAACCCCCCAGCCATGCAGCTGCATGGTGGGATGAACTTGGTTCTTAATATGCATTTACACAAACATGAATTTAAAAAGCCTGACTAGAGGATCTAAGTGTTGCTCCTAAAGAGACTTTGGGTTGCACATTCGAAAAAGTTCATATTGTGTGTGACTGAATGTGAGTGATCCTGTCCTCACAGAACTCTTCTGGTTGACTTTGATTACTTAGGCTCAACAGCCCACCAGCTAGAACATGTCTCTTCAGCCCATGGGCCCCAGCTGGAGGTGTTCCTGGTGAATCCACATCTGCCCAGGTTGCCATGTGATGTCTCCCCTGTGTATTTTGACTTATCCACTGTAAGATGCAGAACAAGGTATGATCCATGACTACAATGCGGGTGAGACCTTGCCATTTGTCTGGTAGGATCCTCATTTCCTTTCAGTGTCTTTATGGGCAGATGGGGAGTGTAGGGAATTTCTATGGCTGTTACTGTGGGTGCACCTGAGCACCTCCTAATTTATGTGGCATTTATCTTTGTTTCAACTTAATGAAGCACTGGGCTAGCTGCATGAGAGTTGGTGGGGCTTCTTGGAGAGGCTAAACTCAGATCCTCAAAGCTTTGTAGATACCTAATTCTTAGATATAAAACTCCCCAGAAAATCCTGGAGGGAATTTTATCAGCTTCTGGTGTCTTTGACCTGTCCAAGATGACAGGTTATAGGTAGAGTGGGGAAACAAATATGGTTTCAAGCACAAGCTGGGCAATCTAAGCTCCCTCTTTTCCATCCTGTCATAACTTTAAAGATGATTGGTTGACTGGAAGACTAGGGATGTTGCAAGAGGCTGTAAGAGGGACCCTAATGTGGCTCTCCCATCCCTTCTGCTATGATTCAATTGGGAGCTAATTCTGCTGAATGTGGTTCTAAGAAACTGTCTTAATTCACAGCCCAGGATCAAGACGCCCTGTAAATCCAGGCAGCCCTGGGTTATTTTAATACTAATGAATATGTCTCTGCATGTAAAATTTGGATAGAGTTCTCATGTAGTCCTGTCACCTTCTGCACTTAGCTGTAATTTCTTACTGTGCTTCTGCGTTGCTTTTAAATTGTAGTTTTAGAGTTTGGGTTCATATGTGTAAAATTTGGGTTCACAGTGTAAATGCTTTTTTCTCTCTATCAAAGCCTCAATGGACCTGCTAATAAGGGAGACACTGTGAAGGATCTGGCATTTCCTTAAAAATAAACCAAATCTGTGTAAAAATAATGTATTTTCTTCTACCTAGGTCTTCACCCCAGGAGGGTTTGTACTATGTGGAGGTGATGTTTAAAGGACATGTAATTAACAACCTGACTGAGGGGGAGAAAGAAAACTGTACTTTCAAGGTAACTGCCAAGCAAGGATAGGAGTGATGATAAATAATTCAAAGTATTGAAGGGAGTTAAACTTCAGACACAGTATTACAGAGAATATATGGAAATATTATCTCTCATACTGTGTGTGGTTGCACATCACAACAAGAAGTTAGGGTGCTCCTTCTGTACCTTAAAACTACATTGAGATACTCATCAGTCAGGTACTGGATAGACGAGGTGACCCAAGAGGTCTTTCTGAATAAAAAATC